ACTTGGTTTGTGAAGCCTTCACATTCTGTGCACTTTGAATTGTATGCAGACAAACAAAATTCAATACTTTTGTAATTCACACACTGCGAGTCAACCAACACATAATCGTTTTCAACACAGATTTTACAATTTTGATCGTTGTCACACGAAATGCAGTTATCAGAACAACTTTTGCAAATGTAATTATCTAAGAAATATCCATTCTCACATTTTACACACCCAATCGGCGTTTTTGTTTCACAATTCGTCAAGTTGTCATATGATACACAAAATTTATTTTCACTGCCAGATAGTTTGAAATATTCGTTTCGGCAACTCAAACAAGAAGTGCCATCAACACAAGTACCACACGACTCATCACAAGAAATGCAGTCTGTTTTTTGTTTGTAATAGTGGTCTTTGCAAATTGCACATCCACCACCTGTTGGCAGAGTCAATTCACATTTTGTAAATAAATTGCCAAGTGGTTCACATGTAAAGGTGGAGGACAGGTAATACTGTGGATCGCATGTCTAACAATAAGTTGTATTATAACAATTATCACAGTGATTCGAACACAACTCACATTCACTGTTCATGTTATAGTAACCAGAATTGCATCTCTCACACCCTTTGTTGGTTCGAGTGAAACACGAGGTTTAACCACCTTTTATCACTTGTTTTGTGTTAGTAACATTGTTTTCATTGTCGTCAATTTTTTCTGAACAATTTCCATTTTTCAGTTTGAAAGTGTCCAAACATTCAACACATTTGAATTGTGAAATCAGTGAGTATTTACAGTCAGCAATTTGAGATTGAGAAATTGGAATACAAAAATCATATTTTTCTATTTTGTTGAGAGTTTCTATCGGGCTAAACCCTTCTTTACATTGCGAACAAAAAACCATCAGCTTTGACACACCCAACTTCACTTTGTTCGACACAAAACCCATTTGGTTGTATCACATATTTTTCATTGCACTTTTTGCATTTTCCACCTTCACAACATTTACAATTTGGTATTGAACACACTGAGCATTTACCATATTTGAGTTCCATATTAACATCAACACATTGTGAACAATAATCTTTGCTGTATTTCAAACAATTAATATCACCAATACAACTCATTGTTTCAACGTCATAAACTTTATTTTTTACACAAGTCATAATTATAGTGTTTGAATTGTAATTTATACAAATTAATGAATTGTCTGTACATTTCACACATTGATTGTTTTCATTCAAATTATTGCCATTTTCACATTGATAAACGACATTGTTTCGAGTTGATATGTTAGCAACAACTTGACAAATATTATCGTTAAAAACATATTTATCTTCACATTGAATGCATTCCATTTGATTTTTGTAGTTTTTCTGATATTTGCATTTTGATACAGCGCTTTGGCAATCAGAGTTTACTGATATTTGATACGAACAGTTACAAGACACTTTAGATAATGTAGATTTGTTTACACAATTAGTTGCTGATACACATTTATTATTTGACAAATAATATCCATCTGAACATCTCAAACATTGTTGTTTATTGAAGGCAGTTGCGCACCCATTTTCATTAGTTTCACATTTCTCTTGGTTGTGTGCTGTAACTTTTGGTTGTACACACAAATCACAAAAATGGTTTGTGAATCAATGCATATGGCGAATAACAAGTGGTGCAAACAGGAATTCCAACTTTTTTAGTTGAACAAACTTGACAATTTGGGATGCCAATAAAACACTTTTCACATGATGTTTCGGTGTTATTATAAGTTCCAGAAGAACAACTCAAACACGTTTGGTTGAAGAGGTAATATGGGTCTTGACATGAAAAGCACTTGTTTTCTCTTGTACTACACGATTTACAGTTTGTGATGGTTGTGTTACATTGTACACAAACGCCACTTTGATTTGGATAGAATCCACTTTCACACTCAACACATTTTCTGTTGTAATCGGGTGAACAGATCTTGCAATTCTGATCAAACGATTTACAAGCAACACATACATGACTCTTTGTTGCTTCAAACACGTAATTGTTGATACAACCATTGCACTTGCCTGTTGTTTGATCGCATTTTCCGTTGCATGTAGCATCACATGAGACGCATGTGTCTGTTGAGTCGCTTGGATACATCCCACTTGTTCGACACACTGCATTTTCTCTGATATGTCGAGTCACATGTCAAACAGTTTGAATCAAAATTTGAGCATGGTTCACACACTAAATTGTTTGTTATTGAAAAGACGTAATTTGATGAACAACCGGTACACGCACCTGTTGTACCACTGCATGAACCCCCACAAAAAGAATGGCAAAGTTTACATCTGTATCATTACTTGTATTTGGATAGTAATTTGTATTGCATTCAACACACTTTCTATTGTTATCAGGTGAACAAGTTTTGCAATTTGTTTCAAATTCATTGCATTTTTGACATTTAGGATTTTCAGATGAAATTAGAACATAATTAGCAATACAGGACTCACAGTATCCTGTTCGTTTGTTGCATTTATCTTTACATGAAGGATCACACAACACACATGTTCCTAACAAATCTGGGTAGTACCCAGTCAAACACTCAACACACTTTCTTGAAAAGTCTGTCGCACACAAATTGCAATGTGGGTCCATTTGTGAACAACTTTGGCATGTCAACTGGTTTTTGTTTGTGTATAAAACGTAGTTGCTCATACAACCAGTGCAATATCCATTTGTTGGATTGCATTGATTGCCACATGTCGAATCACAGAGTTGGCATTTGTATGTGGATGTATTGGGGTAGTACTTGGTTTTGCATTTAGTGCAATTTCTTGAACTCGAAGAATCACACTTTTCACAGTTTGGGTCAAATGAGTTGCAACTCAAACACTGTTTTGTCTTTGGTTCATTACACACGTAATTGTCTTTGCATTGCCAACAAATACCATTTGAATCACACGAAGAACATGTTGAATCACATAACACACAAACGTCATTGACCAAATATGCAAAATCATATTGACACAAAATACATTTCCGTTCTGTTGTTGAACAATACAAACAATGTGGGTCAAATTCATAACAACTCTGACATTGTTTTGGGTTTGATGGGTTGATTGTGTATTGCTCATTAAAACAAGAAATGCAATTTCCCGTTGTATTTGAACATCCTTCTGAACAAGTTTCATGACAATAAACACAAGAAAAAGGTGATGATGAACTTGGATATTTGCCATTAATACACATTGTGCATTTTCTGGTAGTTTGTGAACAACTCGAACAATCGGGATCAAATGAACTACACAACTGGCATTGAACACTATCTACTGTTTGTTTGGTGTAGCCCACTGCACACGTCTCACATATTCCAGTCTTTTTATTGCACCCGTTATACTCACAAGAAGAATCACATGGAGAACAAGTACCGTTCGGATTCAAGTAATAATTTCCTGCACATTGTGTGCATTCTCTGAATTGATTGTTTTCACAAAAATTACAATTCGGGTCAAAAGAATAACATTCCTGACATGATCCATTGTTGACTACATATGGAACATAATTATCAATACAACCATTACAACTTCCATCTGTGTTACACGTTTGGCAAGACGAATCGAAAGGTGAACACAAACCATTTAAGTTAAGATATGAAATACCTGATGTACATGTCAAACACTTTTGTTCAGTTTGGCTGCAAGTAACGCAATTTGTCATTTCACTGCATTGACTACATTTAAGATTTTTTGGGAAGTATCCAGGTTTTCAATTTGTGCACCCCAAAGTCGTGTGACACCCAGAGGTCTCACAATTTGCATCACATGTGAGACAAGTCGCATTTGCAAAATAAGTTCCCGGTTTACAAGACCAACATTTCGAAGGAGAACCCCAGCATGTGAGACAAATAGAATCACAAGTTTGACATAGTCCATTTTCTGAATAAAATCCGTCAGAACACGAATCACACTTTGTTGTATTTGATATACAATGCCCGGGGTTACAATTATCACAAGCAATACACTGGTAGTTCCACAAATACCTTGACCCCGGCTCACAGGACATACAAATAGTTGAATTGTCTTTGCATGTTTGACAAGTCGAAGAACACTGAAGGCATGTGCTAGAAGCGATATAATAACCATCAACACAATAATAACACTGATCTGTTGTTGGTCCAAAACATTGTGTGCATATATTGGAACATTTGAAACAATCATTTTTGTCCAAATAATATCCAAAAATACATTTGAAACACTGATTAAAACTATTTCCAGACGCACACAAGTCATTTCCAAACTTAACACACATTCCATCATTCGAAAAGTAATACCCAGATACACATTCATAACAAGTATTGTAATTATCACAATACTTGCAATTGGGTTGGCAAGGTAAACACGTGTGATTATATTCCCCGTGATCATAATCAAGATATTTTCCATTTGAACACCCAGTACAATTTGTTCTTTCGGGACCGTCACAATAATAACATTCAGAATGACATTCATGACATTCATCATTAGATAAGTAATAATTCCAATAACAAGTCAAACATTTTAACCCTTTACAATAATAGCAATTGGGAGGACATTGAATACAAGACCCATTAGTTAAATAAAAACTATATTTACATTCATCACAATTGTTTGAATAATTTCAACTGCAACTTTGACAATTAGGATGACAAGGAATACAATATCCGTCTATTAAATTAAATCCAGTTTTACATGAAAGGCAATTTTTGTCAGCTGTTCCATTACAAGTATTACAATTTGGACTGCATTTTAAACAGTACCCATTTGAATAAAAATAAAAATTTTTGCAAGTTAAGCATTTGTCAGATCCACTTGTTGAACAAGTATTGCATGAATAATCACACTTCAAACAATACCCATTTTCAAGATAATAATAAGCGTAACATGACAAACAATTATTAACATTAGGTCCATTACATTTGTTACAAGATGTATCACACTTAATACATTTTTTTTACATCCAGATAATAATGATCAAAACATGATAAACAATCATCAGAATAAACACTGAAACAATCTAAACACGATGAATCGCACTTTACACAATATCCAGCTGAGACACCATAAGAAAAGGGGCATGACAAACAATTGTATCGTTCTTTACCATTACAAGTGCTACATGATGAATCACATTGTATACAATATCCATTCGTCAAATAATAAGAAAATGGGCATTTCAAACAATTATTTGGCCCTGTTCCATTACAATCATTACACGATGGATCACATTTAAGACAATATCCATCCATGAAATAATATTTAGACCTGCATGTTTTACAATTGTTTGGTAGACTTCCATAACAAGTTTTACATGATGAATCACATTTTATACACGTGTTTCCAAACATATAATAAGAATTTTGACAAGTCAAACAATAGTTTGAAGTTCCAACACAAGTGATACATTCAGAGGAACATGGAAGACACGTGTTTGATCCTTGTAAATAATACCCATAATTACAAGTGTTGCATTCTGTATTTGAACCACCATAACATGTTAAACACCAACTATGACAAATTAAACACCTGCTTGAACCTTACATGTAATAACCATTTCGACACGTTAAACAATCATCGGATGTTCCACCAGAACACGTAGCACATGAATAAAAACAATTTAGACACTTTGAAATTTGTGTGGTGTATTGACCATCTGTGCATGATAAACACCCATAATTGGTATAATCATAACAAGTCTTGCAATTTGAATTGCAAGAATAACATGAATTGTTTGATAAATAATACCCATCATTACAATTTAAACAATCAGTTTCGACCCAACACTTTTTACAGTTTGTACAAGAAGTTTTAAGGACTTCTTTTTTATTTTCAAATATGGTTTTATTTTGTGGGTGATGTAATACCAAAGTAAAATTGTTTATTTTTGAAGAGTATATGTATGTATTTAGTGTGGTATCGAAGGTTAGATTAAATGTGTTTTTTGAGTTTATAGTCACTTCTAGGAGTGTTTTTTCTTCACATTTAATAATAAAACCATCACCAATGAAAGGCAAATGAATTCTTTCAGTTGATAAACTCCATTGAAAATTCCTTTCACATTCTTTTCCAAATGGAACACATGTTATATTGTTGGAATACTTGCACCACTCAATTGACATTGCAAAGGATAAAGTATAACTCAATATAATCAATACAACTAATATAACCATTAAATATTGAAGTGAGTTTTATTCTGTATTTATATATGTATATTTTTTGAAATAACATTGAAATGATAACCGAATTATTACCATATATTTTTGTAAATGCTACAAAATATTGATGTGTTTCTGTATTTTTAAATTGAAACTCTTCTTTTAAAATATAAATAAATAATGAAAAATCATTATATTTTTGTAATGTAATCTACTAGTTTTCAAACTTAAATTAATATTTTAACGTGTTTTGTTGTTTATTTACAACTTTCAATGATAAAAATCGAAAGTTTTTTTTAAAAAGCTCATTATTGTTGTTTATCATATTAAATTTTTTAATAAAATTAAAAAAGACAACAACTAAATCAATTTATTGATTATTTAATTTAATTATTATTTATTTTAATAATAAACATTTATGATTATTACTCTAAATATATCTACTAAAAACATTTTAATAATTTGTTAGAAATAATTATGTAACAATTTGAGATATTAGATGTTTTTACGTCGAATTGGTATTATTTTAGAAAAGATTTGATAATAACAATATAATGAAAATATACAAAGTAGTATATAAATTATGTGGATTTAGGGTGCACCCTCATTTTATCTATATTTTCTAATAATTTAACAAAAATCGTGAGGGGACGAGTAATTTGAATTTTCACAAAATTCTGGATTAAGAGTTCCAATTATTTTTTCAATATGGAGCTTAAACTACTATTTGCGAACTACCTCCTCGCTACTTTATCGAAATCGATATTATAGCAATTTATATAGTAAATTTATATTAATGTAGTAATCTAAGTTTTATAGTAAATTTATATTAATGTAATTTTTATCTTCCTTAAAATGACGGAACAGTATATGAATGAAGCGTTTAGAAAGTATATTGAGCTTTGTCCTTTACGGTTCTTCGAACCTAAGGACCGTAGGTCCTTACGACTCTTATATAATTTAAATACAGATGAAGATATTGACGAGAAACTCATGCCGAAGGCTGATGAATTTACAAATGATTCTGAAAATGTAAGTGAAAATATTAGTGAACATGTAACTGAACTTGAAAGTGAAAATAATATAGAAAATCATGATTATTCTGATGAATCAAGTGAAGACATAAATGATTATGTTTATTATAATGAAGAAGATAATAAAGATGTAGCTAACTTAGAATGTAATTATATTAAATTTAAAACAAGAATTAATAAATTTAAAGAATACTTTAATCAATTTATTAGAAATAATAATATAAAAGATATAATTGTAAAATATTATGTTAGTCCTAATGTTATTCAAAAAGGTTATGAAATATCGATGTGTTTAAATAATAAAGATAATTATCAAAAATTTCAAAACTTTATGGATCATGGTTATTGTAAAGGAAAAGATGGTAGAATATTTTATATTAACGAAATTGCATTAATGATAATTTAATAGATATTTCATAAACTGTAAAAACAAAGTAATATATTTTACATCTTATCTGAAGACATCTATTTAGTATGTTATTTTTATAGATATTATAATAATATTGTTATATTACTTTATTAATAATTTATTTAGTAATGTATAAATAATATATTTTTATTTTTATTCTCATATAAATGAGTACAGATAACGAAGTCGTAACACGTAGTGGCGTCTCAGACGCAGCAAAGCTCAATACTTCTCAATCAAAATCAAATTCATTAAAAACATTTTTCAAAAATTTGTTATCTTCAGACAAAACAAATCAAACTACAAAGACGGACCAATTAAAACAAATGGATACTTCTGAAATTATTAAAGTAAGAGAAGCGACACAAAGTTCCAGCAAAGCTCCAACGCGAAGCGGCATCTCCGATGCAACACCAAAAACAGCATTTGGTATGTCTTATTCTTCAAATGAGAGTGAAGATGAATATTATATTGACGAGAAACTTATGCCGAAGGCTGAGCGAAGCATCGACACATCTTTTAGATGTGGTGAGCAAAGAGTTTTGCCAAAGGTTGAAACTTTATCCGATATTACTTCTAAACATATTATAGCTTTACAGAAGATAATATACAAATACAATTTAAAAAAAAGATATGTTAAAACAATGTAACAAAGAAATCAATAGATATATTAATAATAATCCAGAAGTTAACTCAATCAATACAAAAGATTTAAATGCTACAATTTATATTAATGGTTATGTATTTTGTAAAATTAAAGGTAAACAAACATTAATAAAGAAACAAGTTAGAATTACTAAAAGTGATCTTGATAATAAAGTCAAAAATATAGAGGGCGAAAAGCAAGAACAATTAGTATTATTACTTAATAAAATAGAAGAATTAGAAAACAATCAAAATAATATGAGAGATGGAATTATAAATAAGATGCTTCCAATATTAGAACATTATATTACTGTTAATAATTTAGATGTTAGTAAATTATTTGAAAATTAATATTTATAAATAGATACTTTTATTTTTAACAATAATAGGTTATGGGATGTCAATATCTTCATCTGTATTTAAATTATATAAGAGTCGTAAGGACCTACGGTCCTTAGGTTCGAAGAACCGTAAAGGACAAAGCTCAATATACTTTCTAAACGCTTCATTCATATACTGTTCCGTCATTTTAAGGAAGATAAAAATTACATTAATATAAATTTACTATAAAACTTAGATTACTACATTAATATAAATTTACTATATAAATTGCTATAATATCGATTTCGATAAAGTAGCGAGGAGGTAGTTCGCAAATAGTAGTTTAAGCTCCATATTGAAAAAATAATTGGAACTCTTAATCCAGAATTTTGTGAAAATTCAAATTACTCGTCCCCTCACGATTTTTGTTAAATTATTAGAAAATATAGATAAAATGAGGGTGCACCCTAAATCCACATAATTTATATACTACTGATATGTATTATTAATAATTTCTAAATCAAATTTGTTCTTAATTGGATCTTTAATTAAATTAATGTATAATTCAGCACAATTTATATATGTTACATGTGTATTTATTATTTTGGATTTATCTTCTTTATAATTTTTAAATATATTATTAATATAATTATCAACTTCAGTTTTAGATTTATACATTTATTCTAACATTTCTTTATTTAATTTATAACAACAAATTGCTAAATTATTTAATTTAAATATTTCATTATCCAAATAAATATAATTTTTAAATATATCATGTTCTTCTCGATATGCATTTTGCCCGGTAATCTTTGTCATGATTTCTTTATTAATATCTTCTTTAACTTCCAAATCTAATCTATTGTAATTTTCAATAAACTTTTCAGCTTTAATTAAATCCTTGTCTAAATTATCTTTCTT